AGCATAAAATTTCGGAGTATTACACAAGTAGTCATACATTCTAGTTTCTAGTGTGAATGCCTTTAAAATAGAACGTGCCTAACTTTTCATAGAAAAGACGTTTTTCATTTCGCTAGTCCAGTTCTCTCTTCTCAGCTAGAGAAGGGTTGACAAAACGAAGTGGTCTTGATGAAAATTGTGTTGAAAATTATTTTGTATTGTATGAATGACAAATATTATTTTGTTGAAAATTTCTTATTGAAATGGCAGAATCATTATTTATATTTAAGTCAATTAGTGTTGTAAAAAACAAAAAAAAAGGTGAACTCGATTTGGGCTAGGTCGATTTAGGGTAGGAACCGGGTCGGGAAAGAGTCCAAAATCGAGTATGTCGGGTCAGTTTTGGGCCAAACCCGACCCAACCCGATGCCTACCCCTAAGTATAGTGCCTAAATGAATGAATTAAAAAAAAAAAAACAAATAAAGACAAAATTCAATCGAAAAGAGTCGAGTCAAGCTGAGCTAGGGCAGGTTAGTCTAGTTTAATGGACCTGACCCATTGCAATCCCTATTGTATGATGAACTTAGCTATGTTGTTGACTTTGAACATACCTATCATATTTCAATCATGCTATATGTACATCTGTTTATATCATTGTTTACATTGTGATATGTGACAACATACCATTAGAATTTTTTTTAAAAAAATACATTTTCCACCTACAATTTTTGAAAACAAATGGAATGTCAACATGAATGTAAGGGAAAGAATGTACAAATAGTATTATTGGCCATTGAAAAAAAAAATCATATATGCTCATTAAAAAACCAATCTTGCTGCACGTACATCAAGTTCAATATCAAATTTGACATTGTTGTGAGGTGACAATTTTTTATACATTGATTTTAACAACAATTTAAACAATTAATAACACAGATTTTGACACATCACACAATGTCAATCTTTATGTACACTTTGAATGTACAAATAGCATAATTGTAAAAAGATTTCTACAAAATACAATTACTGTGTTTATATTCATTATATACTATATTGCTATAATATTTATAACAAAAATACTGACCAATATCATTGAGACACTAAGTGCACGTCACATGCAAAACTTTCCTTCTAGCGAGAGAGAATCATAGAGGCGATTTTGGGTGATTGAGTTAGTTCTTTCCTTCTGGCTGCCGATGGAGTGACAGCGCCTCCCCAGCCGGGCCTTTTGGTAATGACGGGCATGATGGGAGAGACATCGACGGGACCTGTAGCATTGGCAAACAATGTTCAACAAAGGCAATCGTTCTTGGAGGTTGCAAAACACTCTGTGTGTAGGGAGATTCCGGCGAGTCAACTGCTGCAATTGAGGAGACCAAAGTTGATTGAAGGAGAACTGGGCTTCATCTTTACGGACGTAGAGGTAAAGCGTTTGGTAGAGGATTTCAGATTTGCCTTAGTTCTTAAATTCTTATCCTTTAGACCAAACATCGATCTGGTTCGAGCGGCCGTAGCCAAAACTTGGGGGCTGTGGGAGGTTCTTGTGGTTAGTCATATGGATGCTTCAAACGTTTTGGTAAAAATGAAAAAGGAGGAAGATTTCTAACATGCCTGGGCAAGAGAAGGCAGATTTGTGGTTGGTGCTTCATTCAGACTATTCAAGTGGACTCCAGATTTTGATTTCCATAAGGAGTCATCATTGGCTCCTCAATGGATTTTTTTACCTGGATTTCCACTTCATCTTTACCGATAAGATTGCCTTCGTATCCTAGCAACGTGATTTGGCTGATACTTGGGTACAAATCATGCTACTTTAAATCGCACACGGGCCTCTGGTGCTCGTATCTGTGTGGAAATTGATCTATTGGCTGACTTGGTAGAATGATTTTCGATCACAGTGGGTTCGACGACTCTTTGGCAACGTGTTAAATATGAAAAACTGGGCTTTTATTATAAAAATTGCAGGAGGCAGGGCTACACAGAGGCTGTTTGTAGAGTGGGTCAACAATTTCATAAGAAGTAGAAAATGAAGAAAGTCATAACTATTGGTCCGGAAAAAACAAGAGTGGAGACGTGGGTAGTGGTATGGGGATAGAAAAACGATATGTGCATGAGGGTGGAGATATGACTAAGTTGGATGCTAGTGTTTTTAGTGGCACAATCCACGAGCAATGAAGTGATAATATAGAAAAGGTTGGTAAAAGTAGTAGATGAATAAATTTCATTGTTGATAATGATAAGGAGAAAAGGAATGTCACGGAGATTGAATTAGGGAGAGATAGAAATATGGATGAGGATGCAACTGTAGCTTCGAAGACTAGTGGGATAGAAATTGCTAAGCTTAGAGGAGGTACTTACGTAAACCTTTAGGTGGAGCTTATTTAGTGGATGGGGAACAAATGAGGGAATAAGGAGAAATAGAGGATAGAGAGACGATCATAAATGGAGATATGATGGTCACGATCGAGGGTAACGAACAAATAGATGTAACGGCCACACACATAATGGTAAGGACAAAAGAAGATCAATGTGTCAAAGAAAATGCTGAGGAATTACAAGAGGACTCTAGGGATCATGACAGTGCAGATGAGGCAATTACAATATCAGATAAAGAGGTGGAAGGAATGGTGGAGGAATTGGAAAATATTCGTGATTGCATTTTAGATTTTGAACAAAGGGCTAATGGGCACCCAAGGAAAATAGTACATAAGGTCAGAAGCTCTTCTAGGGTTCCCAGAAGACCTTCTAGACTTAATCTATGAGTTGCAACTATCTCTTTTGGAACGTACGAGGTATAGGGACCTTGACACGCAAGTTATGGAAGTTGGTGAGAAGGTATAAGCCGAGAATAGTAGCGGTAGTGGAGCCTTGGCAAACATCGGATAGAATTGGCATTTTACAGAAGAAACTAAACTTTAATTTTGGCTTATCGAACAATGACGTGGATGGAAAACTTTGGATCATGTGGGGTCATGAAGTAATTACCGGATGCTGGTTTCTTTTATTTATGCGAAATGCACGGCTATAGAAAGAAGATTGCTCTGGTCAAAATTAGAAGAGGTGAATTATTCACATATTCCCTGGGCAGTGGTTGGAGATTTTAATAGTATCAGAAATAATTCAGAAAGGCATGGAGGCCGACCTCGACCAATGGGTGCTATGGAAGACTTTAATCAGTTTATTGACAATTGTGGTTTGATGGAAATATGCCAGATGGTGGGGAACCTTATTCTGGTGTAATGGTCAAATGGTTGGGCTAGGAGTTGGGCAAAATTGGATAGATTATTGTATGATTCTAATTGCTTGGAGAAATTTCAAAATCTTCATATGAGGTATTTAGCTCGTACCATGTCAGACCATGCACCAATGCTGATCTGGCTACAGACTAATATGGTTCATTATGGCCCTACGCCGTTTAAATTCCAACAAATGTGGACTACACATGAGAACTTTAAGGATTGTGTGTTAAAGATATGGGAATGGAACTCAGATGAAAGTGGTTTATGGTGTCGAGCTGGAAAACTAAAAAAGTTGAGGATGCACTACGTAAATGGAACAAAGAGGTGTTTGGGTAGACGCAGAAACACATTCAGCGACTAGAAAAAGAGTTAGAAGAGTTGGATGCTAGCCTACAAGTGGCTTACTCGGAGGAGATCGAGTATATCTACTTAGCTACAAAAGTAGAACTTGACACTTGGGAGAAGAGATAAGGAATGCGCCTAGCACAAATAGCAAAGCAGACGTGGATTGAGAAAGGTGAAGTCAGTAATCAGTTTTTAAGCAATTTAACGGCAGGACCTTTTACAGGGTCAAGGAAATGAGACTAAGGAATGGTACGGTGCTTGAAAATCATGAGGCAATCCATTACGTAGCGGTTGATTATTTTCAAAATTTCTTAGGAGCTAGACCCAGGAGAGACCAACTAGACCTATCAGCTTGGATTCAACACACTATTTCAGAGGCAGAGAACGATGAAATTGGGATGTTACCTATTCCCAGGAGGTCAAAGATGTAGTTTTTTCTATCCCAACGAACAGTATTCTTGGTCATGATGGATTTGGCTCAGGATTCTATAAATCTTGTTGGGATATAGTGGGTGAGGATGTTGTGGAGGCAGTGTGCGATGTTTTTCGAGGTACCGATATTCCAAGATTCTACTCTTCCTCCTATGTGATTCTAATTCCTAAGATAGATCCCCCTTCGAGTTTTGACAAGTTCAGGCCAATAAGTTTATTTTTAGTAATATATAAGGTCTAGTAAAAAATTCAAGTAAAAATAATAGCTTTAATATTACCAAGAATTATTTCTATAGCAAGGTGCTTTTATTCCGGGGAGAAGCATCTTTGATAATATTACTCTGTCTCAAGAGATGATTTATAACCTTCACAAGCCGGCAATGGGTGTAAATGTAGTCCTGAAAGTGGATATCGCCAAAGCATATGTAGTATTGATTGAGACTTTCTTATGCACGTATTGAAGTCCTTTGGTTTCTCCTCCAAGATCTGTGATCTGGTAAGACAGTGTGTTACTACTCCTTGGTATTCTGTGGTGATGAATCGAACTATGAAGGGCTTCTTCAAAGGTGGAAGGGGTCTAAGGCAAGGGGATCCCTTGTCTCCATATCTTTTTATTATTGTAGAAGAAGTTTTATCCAGAATGTTGAGAGCTAAATATGAAGATGGTAGCATAAGATCTTTTTCTTTACCAAGGGGGGCTTCTTCAAAGGTGGAAGGGGTCTAAGGTAAGGGGATCTCCTGTCTCCATATCTTTTTATTATTGTAGAAGAAGTTTTATCCAGAATGTTGAGAGCTAAATATGAAGATGGTAGCACAAGATCTTTTTCTTTACCAAGGGGGGCTCCCTTAATTTCTCATATGCTGTATGCTGATGATATTGTAATATTTGCGAATGGTCGAAAAAAATCTTTAAGATCTATTAAGGATATGAAGAATGGTCGGGACAGGTTGTTAGTGTTGATAAAACCTCTGTTATTTTCTCTAAACGGATCACTGTGTCAAGAAGACGGATGCTCTTACGACTCACTGGATTCACAGAAGGTAAATTTCCCTTCAAATATTTAGGGGTTCCTATAATCATAGGAAGATTGAGAGCTCAGGATCTTGAGGACGTGGTTTGGGAAAATTCGTATAAGATTGGCAGGTTGGCAAAGTAGGGTGTTATCTATGGGGCCCAACTTCTGCTTTTAAGGAATGTCCTTGCTAGCACGCCTCTACATCTATTTTCTTGTATTAAAGCACCAGCTTCGATTATAAAAGTTATCAACAGAATCTTTAGTGATTTCTTATGGGGCTACGCGGATGGAAAGCCTAAGAGAAAATGGATAGCATGTGACAAAGTTTGTATGCCTGTTAAATAAGGAGGAGCTTGTCTTCGTAATCTACATGAAGTGCGATTATCCTTACACATGAAATTTGCCTGGAAATTTTGACTGAAACATCTCTTTGGTCAAGATTTTTTAGGGTAAAATATATTAAAGACAAACGCATATCTCAGGTGGATGCTACTAAGGGGTCAAGATTCTGGAAGATGGTTATGAGTTGCATGCCAGATGTTCTTAAACGATCTAGATGGCGATTGAAGGAGGGTGGTGTATCATTTTGGTCGAATGGATGGTCAAATATGGATCCTTTGGGAGATTGGATGCTATTGGTTGAATAGCATAAAATCTTGATCAAAGATCTTAAAAATGACAACAGGTAGAATGGAATCTAATAGAGGAGCTAGTTGGGAGAGATCAAACGGGAGAGGTTCTTGCTAAATTGGGAAAAATCGAGACAGGCAAAGAAATACTGATTTGGACTGAAAGCTTGGATGATAATTTTTTTTGCAAAAAGTGCTTGGGAAGCTACAAGACGTCAGGGGCAGATATCACAGTGGCATGAATGGATTTGGCACCCAACTCTACCAAAGAAGATTTCGTTAAATATGTGGTTGGCCATGAAAGGAGGTCTCTCGACAGATGACAAAATCCGAAAGGCTGGTATCCCCATTGTATCAAAGTGTATGTGTTGCTTGTAGAGGGGATATGAGGATCAAAATAACGTCTTGGCCTTGGGGAATGTGGCTTAACAAATTTGGCAGAAATGTTCAACTTCACTAGGAATTCGATGCATACAGACTTGAGGATGGAGAGAACGTGTAGAAATTTGGTTCCGAAGAGCAAAACAAACATCACATAAATGTACTTTAGTAGGTATTATTCCTAGTATAATGTGCTGGCATTTATGGATGTGGTGATGTTCAACCAAGATGGAAGGAAAGATGGAATCTATAGAAGCTACTTGGAGAAAGATAAAAGTTTGGATCTCTTGGGTGGGGTTAAAACTAAAAGAAGCGGGAACGTTAAGCAAAAGAGATGAATGGGTGTTGAGGGAATTTAATATACCAGTAAAGCCGATTAAAAGGAAAAAATTAAAGTAGTGAGATGGCAACGACCAATGCAGGGGTGGTACAAACTCAATACTGATGGATGTTGCCCGGGCAATCTTGGAATTTGTGGTGCTGAAGGTATTATTCTGAATGAGAAGGGTGATATTGTCATAGCCTTTGCTGAGAATCTTGGTAAGGGTACCAATAATGGTGCTGAACTACTGGCATTATTATATGGGCTCTGACATGCTAAAAGGATGTGGATTAACCGACTTGAAGTGGAGCTAGACTTATTGATAACCGACTTGTGGTATTTGGTATTTAGAGGATTACTGGGAAGAAATACAATACATATTGGCTATAATCTCATGTAGAGTTCAACACATATATTGCGAGGGTAATTTGGTAGCTCATATCCTGTCAAAGCTAGGAGCATCTAGTGTTTTACAGATTTGGATGATTCTATCGCAATTTCATCATCAGTTAGAGGAGTTTTACATATGGATAAACTAGGCATTCCTAATTTAGGAGGTTTTTTTCCCCACAGTTTGACTTTAAATCTTCCAATGTTGTTTTAGATTACAAGGAATTTGGCAAAAAAAAAAGTTTAGTTGGCTTTATTTGGTTTGTAACCACGGTATTCCTCTGCTACAAGTGAGGTTCTATTAATAAGAGCAAGCTGCTATTTAAAAAAAAAAAAAAATACTGACCTCTAAAATTTCTATATTTTCTTTTGTAACTGAAATTAAAAAATACAAACACCACTAAATTCATTAATTGTCGGTGCAAAAGGACTGCAAAGTTCAAAATTTCAAATTCTAAAACCCCTATTGTGTGAAATAATCTGGAATCCTACTCTGTGCAATCAATTTCCCTCTGCGAGGTTGAAACTTATATCAAAATCAAGGTTATCAGGTATATAGTAATCTCTTTAGTGTCAATTCCTTCATAAATTTCATGTTCAGATCCCATCTAATTTGAATTATGGCGTTGATTAAAGGATGAATATACAAGTTTCTTTCATCTATTACTGTGGATTTAGGTTACTGTTTTTGTATTCCTGAACATAATTTGAACAATTGTAGGTATTTAATTGGTCATAGTTTCCCCAATTGCAAAATTCTTATCCATATTAAAATTGTGTATTAAGTTAGATCACAACAAATTATTTGGAATCTGAACGCTGCTATGCTCATATTGTTTATATTGTCTTATCTATTCATTATTCTCAATCACGAAATGCTAATTATTGATGTTGGAATTGGTTAATAAAACTAATAAAAATTGATTTCGTATCAACTTTGACCAAATATTTAGACGGGTTCCAATGGTCAAATTATGAAAGTGAGTAGACTACTTTGTTCTACTCGTTGAGTAGATGATCATAATATATTTGGAATTTCAAACTCAATTCCGGATGAATGAGAGATTGATGTCCAAAGGTAAAGTAAAAAATCAAATTTTAGCATATAAGACCGTGGCAGCCTCGCCCGCAGCGAGTGACAAACCCCTATTTTCAGCACTCGAGCACCAAACCATGCGGACCGCATCTCTTCATGAAAAATGTTGAATTTTGGGACGGCCACAACCCCTCACTCTATAAATTGGACATCCTAGGTGGCTTAAATTCATTCCTTATCATATTCAGTGTTTGTTTTGCATTAAAATACTTCATCAAAGTGGTTTTTCTTGCATAAAAATCATGGTGTGGTAGAGAGAAAATTTCATTTCAAGTTCGTTGATCTATGTGCTCCTACTGCGGGACATGTTCATTGTATCTTGGGAGATGATTATCGGAAATCGTTAGCACCGATGTAGAGAAAATTCATCTTAAGGAAAAAGAGTCCAACTCTTGCCTTGATCAATTCATTTGACTTGCCTTTCATCCTTTCTATGTCAAAGTCTTTAACTTTATTTCAATTTAGTAGAAATGCTAACTTTTATTCCAATTTCAAGAAAATTTTGAACGAATAATTGAAATGCTTGAATTGAAGAAAACACTTCTCGCTTCTTCTTCTGTTTTGGTAAGTCGAAGTTATGTTTAATTTCATGCTTATGGATAAGGTACGTTACTGTGAATATAATTATGCATGTTATTGTATAATTTCCCCAACAATTGAATTCAATGCTGTCAGTCCTTCTGGTTCATGTACATTTATATGACAGAATGTCTCTGTGATGATGCAGCTATGGATTCAATTAATGTTCCTTTGCGATTCTTTGATTCGGGCACTTGTCGAGTAGTTCTTTGAACATTTCCCAAGACTGATGAAATCTTTCTAGATTAGATTGCTGGAAGATGGAGATGTCACGTTTGGTTTGGAAACCTTGGCTGGAAAAAAAGTACATCATAGCCAATTCACGTAGTGATGCTGCATGGAGGAAATGAATCCAATTATTCCCAAGCCGTATCCCGGTGAGGAAAAAGCCTCATCGTCACGTCTTATTTGAAGTTACCGATCTCCAGGATACGTGATATGTGAGCATGTGAATTCTCACGTCTTTCCAAAAAATGGTATGCTGTTTGAGAATAAGTTGACGATGTTCGGCATCGGCTAAAAATTTGCGATCCCGAACATGTTGCTAGAACTGCTTGTCAACAACACGAGGAGTCATAACTTTCCAACAAGCAAATCTTCTTTATTAATTTTGGCAACTGGAACCACAACTGCTTGATGATTGATTAAGGATAGATTGACATTCAGTAGAGGGACTTCAAGGGAAAGAACTTGAGTGCTCATCTCGTGTTGTTGCTAGCCTGTTGCTTCTCTTTGTTCATGGGCAGAAAAATGAAATAAAGAAAGGGGGATTTGCTTAAAAGGATCAGTCAACAATACTTTTTGGTAAAATAGCATATCTCAATACTTT